GCGCTGACAAAACGATGCAATTTTTTTTTTGTTTTTTTTTTCTATTTTTTGTTTTCTTTTTTTTTTTTTTTTTTTTTTACTTCTCTTGAAATATTACGCATACGCAGTGTGCGTGGGTGAGAGGGGGTGGTAGATTACAGCGAGCCGCACGCCGGGGTATTGGGTGGGGGCGGTATTATGACAAATTGCACAAGAGCCGCGCGCGAACTTGAGAAAACAAATGCGATAGGAAAACATGCAAAAAGCACAAAAGGCGTGCAAAAAAAATATAAAGGGAAAATAAAGAAATAAGACTACACAGAGGGAAATTAATAAAAAAAAACAACAAAAATAAAATAAAATTTAAATAGTTGTTGTGATTAAAATTAAAAGTATTTATTAAATTAGTTTTTATTAAATATATTTATTAGCATTATAAATATATTCAAATATGGAATGAAATTAATTAACTAAAAAATAAAATTTAATAAATATATTAATAATTTTTAAGGTTTTATCTTTTGTTGAACATTAATTTTTTTTAATAATTGTCTTTTTAGTAGATTACTTATACATTTAATTAATTTTCACAATATTTTATAAACAAAATAAAATTGTTTTAAAATTTTAAATTAAAGAACTTCTACTTTTTAAGCCAAGTGCACTTCAGTGGGGGTTTGAGGGGTATGGAAAAATAGACGCCGAGCGATATGAAAAGCGTAGCCGAACGACAAAAAGTGCAGGAAGCGTTCGTAGAAGTGCGGTGGGGGCGGTGGGTAGAAGAGGTGAGGAGGTGGAAGCGTGTGCGTATGCATTTGACGCTGCCAACGCGTCGCCGCTGATTGTTTGTTTTTTTTTCTTGTATTTTTTTGTATTATTATTGTTGTTGTCGCATTACATAAGCCTCATATCGTTTCCGCCACAGCGCCCACACAAACACACCCGCACAGTGGGGTCAAAAGGTGATCGACAAACAAGAAAAAATAATTAATGATATTAAGTATACGTAAAAAAAAATTTAACGATAAATATTACGTATACGATTTTTTTTTTTTAATATTACGTATACGAAAAAATATCAAAACATTACGTATAAGTTAAAATTAATATTTAATTTTGTTACAAAGAAGCAAATTAATTGTAGAATTTATGAATTTCTTATTTCATATTTGTTTATTTAAAAAGTTTTCATATTTCCTTATATTCTCCTCATATTCCTCTAAATGCCTAAGCTAAATAAATATTTTTTACTTTTGAAGATCTGTGAATAAAGCCCACTGTGCGCAGAAAGGGAGGAAGGAGAAAGGAGATGGGCAGAATAGCCAGCAGAACTTGTGTTGCATTCTCCTTTCTCGCAATCCCGCATTTGCGGTCTCTCTTTCTCGCTCTGCTCCTCCTTTTCTCTCTCTCACTCTTTGTCCCTCTTTTGTGCACTCGTTCTCTGCGCTGTGTTCTCGTTTTCGTTCGCACACTCGCCCTCTTGCTCGCACCCACTGCCGATCGCATTGCGCGTTGCGTTGCGCATCAGAACAACGTTCGACCTTGACAGTGAAAATTCAATGGCAGCGAAGCCGATGCCTCCGCCACTGCTGCTGCTGCTGTTGCTACAGCAAAGCTGGCAGCGACGCGTTTGCAATTGACGAGCACAAATTGTTGTTGTAAATATATGCATATAAAGACAGACATATAAACAAACGCAAATATATACGGACAGGAGTACAACGCACAAGAGAGCACACACACACACACCCACACAGAGGGAGAATGGCACAGTGAGCGATCCGTTAGTTTTAAGGGACTTCTTAGTCATTTATATCAAGGGCTTATGTTATATTTGATTCCGTTTTCTTTCAGGATATATGATCCTTTATCTTCCTAACATTTATTAATTGTTTTTTTTTTCTCCTGATTTTTGCGGAAACTGTCCAATAAATTGTCCTTTAGTTCTCATGACTTTTCAAGCATTTATTTTATATTTTATTAAGTGCAATTAACTTTCCAGAGGGATTTGCCTCCTATTCATTTTGAAGCATTTCTTAGGGACTTTCCAAGCCATTATTCCAAGCCTTCATCCCAAGCATTCATTCTATATTTTATGTGTGTGCAAATAAAAAAAATAAAAAATAAAAACAACAAATTAAACAAAATAATTAATTTGAATGTAATTAATTTGTAAAATTGTTCTACAATTTCATTAACAAAAATACATTGGTAAAAAATACGTATACGTAACGAACAAAAAAATTACAAAAAATATTACGTATACGTAAAAAAAAATATGTGATTAAATTATAGAAAAAAATATAAAAAAATATTAATATTGTTAACTATTATATTTATTAATTCAAATAATTCAAAACGGCAATTAGCAACGATCACTGTATCCCTATATAAGTAGATATTTCTGTGCTAGTTTTTGCACATTGTAGAACTTAAACATTTTGCGTATGTCTGAATGACCGATTGTTTGTTATTTTTATTTTGTTTTCCTTTTTTTTGGCTTTTGTATTTTGTTGTTGTTTTAGGTGCATTCGCCGCACACGACCTTGAACATCGGTAGTTTTTTCCTTTTTTTTTTTGTTTCTTCTCGCAATTGGCAACGTGCGCACATAAAATAAACAAACACAGAAAGAGAGAGGAGACAGAGAGAGGAGCACATATATATCTAAACATATATATTTACATATAGATCTGTATGTAGAGCGAACCATGTAGATATCTGTTTACATACTTACGAAGAAAGTCTTGGCATTTGACACTTTTTGGGAGAATCGATAAAGATCGATCGGAATTGGAAATAATAACTTAAAAAATAACTTTAAAAAACCTCAGCTTAAAAAACCCTTATTTTTGTGCGCTAAATTTATATAAAATTCATTTGAAATAGAAAAAAAAATGATAATATTTATATTTTGTAGTAACTTTCAAATCTATTTTTTTTTTTTTTAATAATTTTTTAAATTTATTAGAATTTAAAAAAAAACCTCCAAAACTATTAATTGCTCTTAAAAAATGTATAAGAAATGGATTTCATTTTGGGAAAACCTTAACCCTTGATCACCATATACCATTGATCACCATACCTTAGTGCTCCCTATATATATACATAGATGTATATACATATATATAAATTTATACATACGTATGATGCACCTTGTGAATGTATGTATGTATTTTTCGTTAATTTTTGCGCAACTAAGCGAAAAATAGAGAAATAATGAAATAGAAAAGAATGAACCGTACCGCATCTGTATAAAAATTGTGTTTGGCAATGAAAAGCATTGGCCATTGGCTCTTAGCAACATTTTTACGTGCGAGATTCAAATTCGTTTTTGTTTTTGCTGATTTCGCTAAGAAAATTTCAACAATTTCTGCACTTTCTTTTGTTTGCCAGCAAACAGTTTGAAAGTGCCAGCGGGCGGCTATGATGGGCCTTTATCTAGTGGAAGGAGGAGGTGGGGCTGTAGGTGGGAAATTTTTGGTAGTGGTGACTGTTGGCAACACAGCAGCTGCCTTGGGTTAAGCTTTCAAGGGCACGCGCGTGCAATTCGAGTTGGTTTATGTGATTACCAAAAATTGTGTGTTTGAAGTCGTCAAAGGTAGCAATTATTTTTCGTTTATATATTTTAATAATTTGTATATACCAAATTTCTGAATAATTTCGAATTTGGTAATTTTTATTAAAACAAAGTAAGAAAAATCAAAATATAATTTATTTATGAAAAATTAATCTAAATTTAAAAACAAACATTAAGAAAGAAACAAAAAGTCTTTGCCTAAAACTAATATAATATGAAATAAACAACATGAAATAATCTTTGAATATAATAAAATAAAACTGATGACAAATTATAATTATTAAGATATATATTATTACTAAGACAATTTTACTATAAACAGTGAGTTTAACCTAATATTTGCCTTAAATTAATTAGAAAAAATAAATAAAAGCACAAATTTAGGAATAATAAATAAAATAATATAAAAAAATACCAAATAATAAATATAAATTAATGAAATAAATATTGGCATATCAAAAAATAATTTATATGTATGTATATATATATTATAAGGGAACTTTTAGGCATAAAAAATTATAAATTTTAAGCATTTTTAATATTATTACAAAAAAGATTTTAAATTAATAAAAAACAACTCAAAAGATGCCTTTAATTAATATTAATTTCTATTTCGCATTGTTCTGGGCCTATTCATGTCCCGCTCACTCCCCTCCTCCTTCTCTTTCGCTCGCGTTTGGCCTTGCACTTACGCCGCTGCGTTCTGCTGCCGCAGCCGACGCCAAGCTCTGCACTTCCGCACACACGACAAAAAAAGAGAGAGAGAGAAGAAAACCGACGAACGAACAGCTGACGAAGCGTGGCAGCAAAGTGCCACCGCTCTGTCTCTCTCTCTATCGCTCGCGCTTTTTCTTTCCATCTCTTTCTATTAGTAGTCCCTTCTCGCTTGCTCCACATCTCTCGACGCCACAGCAAATGCAGCGAAAAGTGAAAAGTTTGCAAAAAGAATGTTAGAATCAGAGGTGCTGAGAAGCAAGAATTTGAGATCACTTGGCTTGGGGAAATTTATAATATTTTTTAGTTTTTGTATTATAAAAGAATAAATTATTGATAGATCTCAGTTTATTTAGGAAATATAGGAATAATATTTATGAAATAAAAAAAAATATAGAAAAATTTAGAAACATTTTAAGAGATATTGAAAAAGGCTTAGCTATTTCCTGTGGTCAAAAAATCACTGGCTATTTGGCATCTCTGTTGCTTTGTAGAACTTGGTGCTCTTGGCGGCGGCGTGCAGCTGCGTTTGCCGCCGCCGTCGACGTCGCTGCCCATCGTCAATTTTTATTTTATTTATTTCGTTGTTGTTGCTGACTGCAGCGGCGTGTGAGTGTGTGCATTTGCTTATTGTTGTTGCTGTACTTTTTTTTGTTGTATTTTTTTTTGCTCTATCGTTACTCGTTTTCATTTCGCCTGCTGCTGCGGTTTCAGTTGTCATTTTACTACAGCCGCTGTTAGTTAGTTATTTGTGTGCGTCGCCTTGCCGCGCTCTTTCCGCAAAGCGAAAAACGGAGTTGAAGCAACACGGCGAAAATTGCAGTGGCAGCAGCAGAGCAGCGGCAGCAGACGGAATAGGAACGAAAGCCCAAGCAGGAGCATCCATAAAAATAAGAAAAAAATAATACGAAAAATAAGAAAACAATGCGTGCGGTGATTTTCTTAATAATTTTGTTAAATTGTTTATTATTTATTTTATTTTTCTGCCTTCGTTATGCCATTATGTAGTGCAATTGCAGTTTTTCCTGCCTGTTTTCTCGCCCTGCTGCTGCTTTTCAGTCGCTATCGCGATCTTCTCAAGGCTGCACGCGTTTTCCGTTGACGCCGCCGCGTCGTCATCGCGTCTGTGTCGCGTCTACGTGTTCAAAGGCAGAAATTCCTTTTAGTTCGTGCCATTTTTCGCCTTCATAATTATTTAAAATTATTTCGGAACGCGCTACGTTTCTAATTTGTTAATTTTTTTTTTGTTTTTCTTTATATATATATATATTTTTTTTTTTTTGTGAAGAAAAATGAACGCCACGTTTGAAGTGCATGCATAAAAGGCATATGTAAAGTTCAAGGAAGTCCACGAAAGGCCAACACATGTATTCAAAAGGAAAATCAAATTCTTTCAAATTATTGAAAAGATAAAAAAAAATATAAAAGAAAATAAATAATAAGAAAATAATTACACAAATAATAAGAAAATTAATTTAAAAAATAGTAAAGAAATTTTTAAGAAAAAAAAAAAAAATAAACCTCGACAAGAGACGGATTTTTTGGGTTTCTGTTGGAGGAGAGCGTTTTGATATATTTTTTCCCCCTCTATCACTTGCCGCTGCCTGCTGCATACAGCAAACAGGGTGAGTCAAAGCGGACGCGCACACACGGCGTATACGCGATGCGTCAAGCATACGCAGTGTGGGCAATGTGTTCAAGTATGGGAATTATGTAAGGATCTTGGGAAAAATTGGGAAAAATTATAACATAATAATGAATGAAAATATAATCGATATTTTTAATAAATAAATATTAATGAAAGAGAAGAGAGGAAAAAATAAGAGATAAAAATACAATAGAAATAAATATAAGAACATATAATTATAAATAAATGAATGAAAGAATGAAAGAAGAAAGAGAATGAATGTTAATTAATTATTTATATGAATGAAATTTGAGAATTTTGTTTAATTGTTAATTATTTTTATGAAAAATATTAGAGATTTCTAAATAATTTATTAATGAATGGAAAATAAATTAATTCCAATTAATAAATATTAATAAATGTTACTTAAATAATAAATAAGTCTTAAATAAATAAATAAATAATAAATATAAATATATATTCAAATATTATATATAAATTTCTTTTTGTTTATTTCTGCCACTTTTATATTATTAAAATGTAAAACAAAGGTTTTGTATTTTATTTATTAGTTTATTACCTATTCTACTCACTTTTTGAGCAATGTAATATTTGAATATTTACAATTTATTTTAAAAAAATATTTTAAAAAAATTAAAAATTAAGTTAGTTGTTATTTCCGTGGTTTCTGCTTTTTGAAGTCTTATTAAGGGGGTCTTCTCATTGGGCAACTTTTTTTTTTTCGATTTTTTTTTTTTTGCATTTATTTATAGCTTGGGATGGTGTGTATATGTCCCCAAAAGGATTTTTAGAAATTCGAAATACTTTAGAAGATACAGCCTTTTTTGTGAAGCAAGATCTATGCAAAATGAGCCTTTTTTCAAACTTCAAACGCGTTTATCTCGAAACCACGTTTTTCGAACTGGCGGCCATGATATCTCCAGTTCAACTGAACCGATTTTCATGAAACAAAATGGAATCGACGCAGAATTGATGTCATTTTCGGCTGACGGAACAGATTTTTTAAAAAATTTTTTTTTCTATTTTTTTTTTACACTAAACTACAAAAAAAACGCCCGAAATCGAATTTTTTTTTTTGAATGGCCGCCATTTTGTTTTAAAAATTTTTAAAAAAAAATCTGTTCCGTCAGCCGAAAATGACATCTATTCTGATTATAACCCCGTTTTTATTTTTCATTTCGGACGTTCTGGAGACCCTGAATCGTGGCCGCCAGGACGACACCTTTTTTTTCGACCACCAAGTTTGAAGTCTCATTACTCTTTGAACAACCCTCGTATCGAGGCAAGAACAACTTTTTTAGTTACTTTGAACATTTTTGAATACAATAAATAAAAAAAGTTTTCAATTATTCTTTGCGTTTTCAAATAAGAATTTTTTTAAAAAGGGTCCAAAAAACGGCTTTTGAATGAGAAGACCCCCTTAATACATAAAACATAGTTTTGTAATCTATTTATTAATAATAATTATCTCCTTACCTCTTTCCCTGCCTTTCTCTTTTCATTTTTGGCCCTGTAATCACCAGAATTATATTATATCGTTCCTATATAGTATATACCGTTTCCTAGTACTCTCTGTTATAATCGAAAATAACGTTTTTGTATGGCAGACTTTCTGTCGTGGTTGCTGAAGCCAAAAATGCCTTGAACTGTTGTTCAAATGCCTCGTATTAATTTTTTTTTTGTTGATTTATTTGTTCTTTTTGTTGCTATTATTATTATAAGTATTATTATTGCCGGCTTTGCTGCTGGCTCTTTATCAGTCATTTGCTTGTGTATTATCAATCTAAGAGCCATAAAACAAAAGCAAAAAATAAGGCAAAAGAAATTGAAAACGCCTGAAATTCAATTAGGAACAAGAAAAAAGAAATTCGCTTCGAATTGCATGTACATATGCAATGTGTTGATAAGGTGAAGGCAAAGTGCGCCCGTGTGGGAGGCGGTGGGTGGCCAAGGGCACAACGGCATGCGTGTGTGATAAGACTCGAGCTGAGCCAGTGGCGATAGATCAAGTGAATGTGAATGCTTTTGGCTTTTGTCTCATATAATATTGTATACTGGGTTTTTTCTAGCTTGCGTTTTTTTTATTTATTTATTTTTTAATTTATTTTTTGTTACCTTATTTTGTTTTATTGAATGCCGTTTGGTTTCCATAACTTCTACAGTATTTTTAGTAAGGTTCTTAGTTCTCAAATCAAGTCTAGCCTTTTCTTTCCTTTTATTTTTTTTCTACTTTATTTTTATTTTTTATATTTTTATTTGTACTATTTTTTTGTATTTAGTTTTAACGTTTTTGCTCTGCTTAATGCAGCGCAACGAATTGCGGCGAGCGGCAAAAAAGCTTTTCATCAGCCCACAGCCCGCAGCCGTCAAACAACAACAACAACAACTACAACAATTACAACAACTACAACAATTTGCACAACAACACACCCAGACACACATACACACACTTGCAGCCATAACAGGAGCAACGAAAAACATTTTCCCACGATTTGAAAACGGCGCAAACGGCAACGCCGATGACGTTCGTCACCTACAAAGAGGAAAAACCACCGCCCTCATCATCAAGTTGGCCTCACCCACTCCTCCTCCTCCTCCTCCTCCTCCTTCTTCTCCCTTAATTTTCATCTTAAAATTCAGACGCCTTTCAATTCTTCTCGAGTCGCTTCCCTTTTTCTTTTTGTCTTTCCATTTCCTTGCCAATCTCTTTTTTAAATTTTTATTTGCATTTTCTGACGAGCTGAAAAAAACTAATTTATTGTTTTGGATTTTAGTAAAAGAATAAATGGATTAACATTTGTAAGAAATATATTTTATAGGGTTTTCTAAATAATTTAATATATTAAAAATATTTATTATAATATTTTAAACATAAATTATGAATAATTATTATAATATTAAAAAAAAAAAAATTATATTTATAAAGAAGAATTTATAGCTTTTTGATTTTTTCCCCTATTTTTAAGATTTTCTTTTAATTTTTCTAAATAACATTTATTTTAGTTAAAAAATACAGTAAATACATTTTTTGTTTAAAATATATTTTGTAAAATATTTGTCTTGGGATTCATTTTATTTCTTGTTTATTAATTTGATTAATAATTTAAATTGCTTTGTTTTTTAACTTCATTTATAATTTAAAGAGCTTTGTTTTCCATCTTTTCTTCTTAAATTTCTTTGCCATTTTTTAAGAACAGCTTACACCAATTTAAAAGAATTAAAGCTTGCTTAAAATTTACCTCTTAAAAAATAGTTACTACCTGCAATTAATGCTTATTAAACCCGATTAATGCCGATTTATTTGTGATTAATTTTGCGGCGTTAACATTTTTCTATATAACTCGTACTTTCCACACTTTCCCTCCCCTCCTTCCCACCCTCTTAACTCTCGCCGTCATTCGTCATTCGCCGCCGCTGGGCTTTGGGTGTGGGAAAGTGGGCGGAGCAGCACAAAAAAAAAGTACTGTAACCCATGTTTTGTTGGTGTTTCATTTGTTACCCTTCCTCCTCTTCCTCCCCTTGATAGCTCGTGTGTGTTGGCTCTTCGTGTTTCGTTTGTTTGCTGGCTTTTCCCCTTTCCCCAAATTGCCGTGTGTTTAGTTGTAATTGCATTTGTACAACACCGGCAACAACAATTGCAGCTGGGTCAGTGCAAATACAAATATATACATAAATCTATATATATATATATATTTATATATATTTATATGCATATATGTGTGGTAGTGTTTATATAGAAATGGCTGTTACCTTCGCCATGCGACACGCGCTTAAATTGAATTGGATCATATCTTTTTTTTTTTCATTTGTGCGGCGTGAGTAAATTGCAGGCCACGCCTTTTGCATTTGCCGTTGCCCTACCTTTCTCTGTCCCTCTATCTATCTGTTTCTTTTTTTTTTGTCTCTCCTTTAAAGTGTGACCAGCCACACATTTTGGGCCACACAAACATCACACTAAATAAATTGTATAAAAAATAAGCAAAAGAAAACAGAAAACAGAGTTTTCTTGACTTGCATTATGGCCCTGAAATGTCCATTAGTTCATTAGCCACAATTGACTGCCGACAGGAGATACTGTAGAGAGGGTATATTAGTTGTATTTCTTAGTAGTTACTTTTATTATTAGTTATATTTCTAATAATTCTATTAGTTATATTTTTAAATAATAAAAGCATCTTTAGAGATGTTTAAGAATTGAAAACAAAAAGGTTTCTATATTCTTTATTTGTTTTTTGTATCCAAAACTTTAACTTAACTTCCAAAATTTTTTTATTTATTTAAATTAGTTTACTTTAAATATATTTTTTAAATAAATACTTGAAAAATACAATTTTTATATAAATCCATTTAAGAACATTCCTAGTCATATTTCCCTTACTTTTATTATCTATCTATCACTGTTCCAAGGGCAAGTCTTTAGTAAATCGAAGTTGCAGTTATAGAACTTGTGGTTGTTGTTGCTGTTGTAGTTGTTGTTGCTGTTATTTCTACTGCTGCTTTTGTTGTCATTATGAATGAGTTTAATCAATTTCGCAGAGCGGAAAAGCGGAAAAGAGAAGGCCATTGTGGTTGGCCGCTGGGCGCTGACAGGTCGCAAGTGTTTGCACTTGACTCAGCACCAATGGGCCTATTGTGTCCGTTCTTGGCACTTACATTTACTCGATTTAGAGATGTGTGCAGAAAGAGGAAAATATCGATCTATATTAAACATGTTAAATCGTTAATTTATATATAAAAAAATATATATAAAAAGTATTTTATCAACTTTGACACTGAATTAATCCGTACTCCGCACTTTCCTTCATTTAAATTAGAGATATATGCAGAAGTGGGAAAATATCGATATCAAATATCGAATAAGCATCGAACGTTGTAAATTTTAAATTAACATATAAAAAAAGGGTATTTAAAATATTTGCTTAACTTTGACATTCACTAATGGGTAACTGGAACAGCTTTAATCGAAAAATATCGATTGTTACAGAGAAAAATTCGACATTATATCGATTGTGAAAAGGTTATAATAAAGGTATGATGGTATTGACTGTCTTTACAGATAGAAACGAACTATTTAAAATCCTTATATTTTCTGATCTTCAATAAGCAAGCATTTTTAATCGAAAAATATCGATTGTTATAAAAAAGTATTCCTTATTATATCGTTTATATGTATATATATTATATGTATTTATATTTATATGTTTTTATAACAGCCCTAAGTTTAACGATAGTTATATATCGATAATTAGTGTCATATCAAAAGCTCTGGCAGTGCCAATTCCCAGTCCGATTGCAATTCCGATTCTGAACTGAATCGCAGCTTAATTGCAGGCCAACACACATGTGGTTACACCACTGACTGGCCATTATCTTGGGGTCCGCAGAATAAAGACCCGGCCAGGCCAAGAGATTGCAGTTTCTTTGGTTATGGTTCAAGTTCTGGTCTCGAAACTTGAATCTCTCGGATACTATATTGGCTTTGTCGGAACCCGCTGATTGATTGTCTATTAATAAGAGTTGCCATTTTCATTTTCCCTTTATTATCTTTTTTTTTCTGCTTGGAAACTGAAATTAATTTTTTCCCTGTTCTTTTTTCTCTTCTCTTTGCAGGTGAGTTCTATTTGTGTGGAAATCTCACTAATCGAAGATGTAATTTGGGTAAGCCTGGGAATCAAGGAAATAAATGTATTTATAAGCTGGGCTAAAGATGCATTTTATTTTAAATTTTAAATATTTTTAATATTAATCATTTTGGCTGATAGTTTTATATTCAAAAGATCAAACTGAAGCCTCGATAATTCTGCCAAAAGATAAGCTTCTCAACAAATTAACTTTTATGGCGAATTTCTTCCTTTATTGGCCAGCTGCAAATTGTTCTTTGAATTTCGCGCGTGCCAAAAATAAATTTCTGCTTTAAAGTGAAACAAAAATAAAAAAAAGTGAGAGGAAAAAGAGGAATATAGAAAAGTAATAAGAACTGAATGGAGGGGGACCCTATTTTTAAGGATGTTACCTGCTGACTTCTGTTTTGTTTTACGTATTTCTTTTTTTTTATGGCTTAAAAACGGAACCCTTGTCTCGTCTCATTGCTTTTGGCAGCTGGTTTGTTGACCCAAATTTCTTAACCGAAGATTTCTATCAGTTGTGTTGGAAGGGCTTTGAGCCCTTGGCCTGAGGCAGGGTAACCATTTTTCCCTTTTTTTCGTTGGTTTTTAGTTGGTGTCTAGTGAAAGTTATCGCCTTGACGCGTGGCAAAAGAAAGAAAGGGGGCTAAAGAAAGCGAGAGCCAGCTGTTTGGTTAACGGTTAATGGGAAACCGTTAGGTTCTTTTAGTTTGTCAGGTGAAAGTGCTTACTAACTATTCATTCCAAGATCAATATGTCCAAAGAAAGGAAATGGGCAAATGCCCAAGATAGCGGTTCTATTTCGGTTATTATCTCAAAAGTCTACCGTTAGGGTTGGCCAGTGAAAGTTATGGTTGAAAGAGAATATAGCAGATGTTACGCTGTCTTTCGATGGGAAATTAGGGTGCTCCAGGAGACTTTCTTCATAAGACATTAAAGCTTAAACATTCTAGTATTAAGAGAGTTGAATTAACATAAGAAATGCTGAGTTATTCCTCTGTCTGTATCAACCATAGAGTTGAGAATTATAAGACCCTCTTGCCACTGTTTCATTCCACAGTTCCATAAATCTATAAAAACTCTTGTAAGCCTAATCAAGAAAGTAAAATTTATATGACTAAAGGAAATGAAAAGTAGTTCCGCTGTTCAATTTAAGAAAACCTCCCTTCACAAGTCTAGAGTCGATAATTATACGACCCTTTTGCTACCCTGCCATTCCACTGCATTCCTAATTCCCTACAAATAAGTCAATGATTAAACATGTCTCGTTTCGCATGAGATTGAAAAGGCAAAAAATTGAGTGCAAAATGTTCTATTCCCAGTTAACCGTTACATTCCATTGCCATTCCGTTCCATTCCATTCCAATTTGCCGCGGACACGTTAAAAGCATTAATCAATCATATGATATATGGTACCTATGGCCAAGGAGTAAATGTATTTGGCTCGAAATATGTTTCTCTGCCTTGATCTGGGGCGTTATCTGGCCTAATGAAGCATAATTTGTTTTCAAACTGAAACGGAGTGAGAGCGAGAGGGAGATAGAAAGACAGCTAGACAGAGAGGGCAGCTGAAGATAGAGATAGAAAGATACAAAGAGAGGGAACGATTCATCTTTTAATTACCGCGTTGAAAGCCAGCATTTTTCATCGCCGCATCGATATGCCTGCCTGGTCCCCCACCCCCTCTAGCTGAGGCTCTCCCTCCTCCTCTTACGGGTTTAAAGCTACCATAGTTAACCCACGCATGCCTGAGCAATTTAGTGTGTTAAGGCTTTTGCACTAAAATAAATCTACGGCGATTTGTTTGTTTGCACAAGCTGCCGGCTGCATCTCTTGCTCCCTGCCTCTGCTTTTTCCCCTTGGACAAAATGGGTGTATCGCCTGTCCCCCTTGCTCTCTAACGCTCTGCTCTGCCGTTAACTGCCCGCGGGGCCTACACTAAATATAACAGTCTCTCTCTCTCTCTCTCTCTCTCTGTCGCTCTACCTCCTTCATTTGTACACCTGACCCCCTGCACCGGGACACCCGCCGCCCCTGGACGGGGTGTTATTTATCATAAAAAATTGCTCAGATTTGTTTTGCGACGGGCAAAGACATGACGCTCATTTGTTAGAGCAGAGCAACGGCCATGGCAACGAAGCTTTCTCTCAGCTGCAGCAAGGAGTTGGCTTTTCCGACAATAATACCCTACAAAAATCACAGGGTATACGCACTAAGGGAAGGGATTTAGATAAACTATCTATTATTTCGATTTTTTTTTAGTAAGGCTGATTTTCATCAATTTGTTTTCCAAATATTTTTATAAAATATAGATTTAATATGCCTAGAAGTTTGAAAAAAATCGATATAAAAATTTACCGATATATTAATGATATAATAATAAATATATCGATACATATGGATGAACAAATTCATAATAGAATAGTTTCGATATAATCTGTAACAAAAAACAAGTTGCGATATAAAATCTTTATCGATATATTATTTTTTTGATATACTACTAATAATATCGATATAATCTGTAACAAAAAACAAGTTGCGATATAAAATCTTTATCGATATATTATTTTTTTGATATACTACTAATAATACAAAAAATGTTGATAAAAATTCTGTAATCGATATACGATTGTCGGCTTTATAGTTATGTTCGATATTATGTCGATATAAAATGATCTTCAAAAAGTGTATGCCTAGTTGCATTTTCTGCATTTCCATTCTTATTCTTGGCTCATTGCACTTGCGTGTGTGTGTGTGTGTGCCGCCTCCTGCCTCCCACCTGGCTGAAAGAACAACCCACCACCACCTGAAATCCCTCGTCAGCGTGTGTTCTCGTTTTTATTAATGTAGCCGCCGCCGTCATCGTCTGCTTGGCACGGCCCAAAGTTCAACGCAAATATAATCTGTCAAATAATTTATCAGTGTTTGCCGAGATCCCGATCCACGATCCCTGTATCCTACTGCTTCTGCCATATCTCCTGGTTCAGATTGAAGAGCCTTTTGCAAAGACTACATGACTGTGACTATGATGATGATGATGATGACGATGATCGAGCAGCATCTCTCTCACAGTCACTTCTGTATTGAACTCCCTTCTGTTTGCTTAAATCTCAAGGCCAACGAGAGAAAGAGAAAGAAAGAAATGCCTTGCCGATCATTTTGAGATCTTTCTAAATAACCCACAAAAAAAAAGTAAACTTTGGATCACGAACACACAGAGTTCAAAGGCCAAAAAGGTAACGAGCAATTTATTGATATTTTTGGTTTTTATTTTTCTTTGTTTTGTTAAAAAAAACATAAAGAATAAAGGACCCATTTAAAACCGATAACTAGCAATCTATCGGTTAGTTTTTTACTGTTATCGTAATTTAAGGATTATTTTTAAACCCTTGCTTTTCTGATTTTTATTACAATTTGTTTAGTCTTTAATTTTTAACAACAAAATTAAATTTAATTTAAAATATAAAATTCATTTAATACTTGAAAAATACCACCAATATTTTTTTTCCTGTGCATTTCTATTATTGTCAACGCTTTCGCTCTTCTTGATATGCTTTTGCGTTTTGCGAAAATGCTTTCAATTGTTTGTGGCCTGCATTTTGGCTCGATCGGCATGGCCATTGGCATTTGGGTTTAGTTTTTCTTACTTTTTCTTTATAGGGATTTTGTTGGCTTGTTTTTTTTAGTGTGTGTATGTGTGTATGCTTGTGTTTGCTCTCAAACAGAAACGATTAAATTATCTCAAGGTTGCACGCGCGCCTCTTCATCGTTGCGTCTTTCCTTTAGCCGCCTTTTGCTTCCTTTTTACCTCCGTTTCCCCTTTTTATTTTGAAATCTCTGAGATTTCAACACGGTTTCTGGCTGTTTTTTTTTTGTATCTTTTTTATTTTGGTTTTATTTCCCTTTATTTCGTTTAGTTTTTTGGCCTACAGACCCAGTTTGTATGTTTTTTTTGTTGTTTACCAGAAGCTGTGGCCACAAAACAAGTCCTATAACCAAATGCCCTTATATCTTGTACCTTTTTTTTCTCACCCTTTTGTGGTTCGACCCCCCCCGGTTAACCCCTTTATCTTAACACACCTGTTGCCCTTTTGGCTTTATCGATTTATGGCTCTTAACCTGCCAGCAAACGCAGCCTCCAGAAACTGAATCGTGCAACATTGTGTGAATTATGATATTACAAGGCGAAAGGCTTCTGTTTTTTTTCTGTATAATTATTTTCTTTATTTATTTTATATATTATTTATACCCTTGCTGGGTATTATAATTTTAGTCAGAATCTTGATACGAAGGAGTCATTTCCGACCCCATAATTCATATATATTCTTGATCAGCATCAACAGGCGAGACTTTCTAGAAAAGCAAACAAAAATTTTCAATTTTTTTTTAAATTTTTTATTAGGATTTACATGGGTTAAAATTAACAAAAATTAAAATTTTTGTTTGATAATTCTAAATTTTAATTTCACTTTGCAAAATTTGTTAAACTAAAGTAAAAATAGCATAAAACTGTACTCCGATTTAAAATTAAAGCTGTTTTTAGGCTTAATTATGAAAGATCCAAATTGGAACTGGAAGTGTATAAAAACTTCGGCGTGCCAAAGTACATTTTCTCAGTTCACCTTGTGCCAGGAGCAACATGTGTTGACGCTTGGGCACGTGCTCTTTTGATTTCAAGCAGGGTGAACAGGTGTGTAGCATACCCTTGGCTTATTCCAGACATTCCAGACATCCTCTCATATTTTTTTTTTCTTGATTTTTAGTGTGTTTATTGTTTTTAATGAGGTGTATGCCAGCTATCATTCGCTATATGATATTTCCATCAGAAAACGAGACTAGGCAGCTGCAAATGTGGCCACAATTGATAAGAATAACATAAATAGCAGAGACTGGCTGCAACGTTTCCTACAGATTTTCATCATAGCGGCGAAAAAGAAAAATATTTCAAGTGGAAAAGCATTTACTTAGCATCAGCAGCAGCAGCATCAGTATCTGCAACACTAGCGGCAACTTAAGGGAACAACACCAGGCAGC